TCCCGTTACACCGACTGAAGGTTGGGACAATCATGTCCAAAGTATTCCAGACTCTTCTATAAAAGAACGAGGCTGAAAAATTGTAGGCGTATAAAATTGCTTATAGGTCCCTTAGCATAGCTCGGCACAAACCGACGAACCAACGAGGCGACGAGGTTGACGAATCGCACGCAAGCAACGGAATACATCCATTCGCGTGTGGAATCAAGCCAAGTGTTCGAAGAGTCAACGAGTCATCCAACCAAGGGCATACTCGGACGAATCACGATCGAATCAAGATCGGTTTTGGACTCGAACTCAGAAGTGGATTTACTGCCAAATCAGGAATCCGACTTACTGCCAAATCAGATCAACGAATCAGAGTCTGAATCAACCGAATCATGGCGGAACCAAAAACGGGAAAAGACAGAAAAACAACACCTAGGGGACTCGGCCAAAACCGAGCCACCTCTACGTGGCTCCACCCATAGGTGGCCGACCCAGATCTGTGCGCGGGCACAGTTCAGAGAGCCTATAAATAGGCCCAAGTGTTGTTCATTTGAAAAGGTTGGATTTTTTGGAGGCGAAGCCCTGCTGGATTGAAAACTCAGATCTAAAAAAGATTCAAACTTTAGGACTTCGAGGACTTGCTCATCCAGATCTGGTGCTCGGCGATCGTCAACGCCAAATAAGGCAAGAGTTCGAAAGGACCGGATCTCAGATCTACGCAGGCACACTCCGGATCAAAGCTTGGCCTTTGATCCCGAGATTTGGGCGATTGTTTCCTTGGTGAACCAATCCCCCCCGGCTATTATTTCCTTGGTGAAATAATACCCGTTGTACTGCGTAGATCCGACCGGATCTAGATCGCGCGGTGGTCCACGGATAAACCCCGGCGCAGGCGAAGAACCCACAAAGCGAGAGACCGCAAAACAGGAGCTCGCGATTCGTTCGACAAACAAGGAGAAAGTTGTAATTTTTCTTTTATTATTTTTGATTTCGTTGTAACCGGATCTTATAAAAAGACCGGATCTTTGTAACTCAAAAAGCTGTTATTTAAGATGACAATGGAATCAATTACAAAGAAAGACACGATTTTTCCCGCGAACATCCATAATCCAAAGTTGTTTGTGCCATTAAATTTCTCCACATCTATCTTCATAGAGTGGATATTCAAACTCTGAATGGTCTTCGCGCCAGAAGAACCACCCTCGACACCCGAAGCACCTTCTTTCCCCGACATCTTACGCACCAACGAACAAAGAATAGATCCAAAACTGAAAGATAGAGTCTTTACCAAAAGATCCCACCTTTATCACCAACGAAGTCCTAAACGGGCCTCCAAATTGATCTACTCCTCTAACCAAACCCTAGATCTGGAATCTGGGCTCTGATATCACTTGTTGTGCGCAGCGGAAATTTCGACAGAGTTTCTGGTGCACAATAAGAGAGAAAGATCGATAAGAATTCTTGTTTCTCAAAGGAAACAAGAATAAGCCTAATATCCCATCAAAGTGGGATATTAGCTCTTCCTCTCGTCAGCTCTAGGACTGCGCGTCGAGGGATCCTAAAACTATTACAATGGCCACAAACTCAAACAAACCAATTTACGTGGTTCGGCAAACTGCCTACGTCTACGGGGCAAGGAGGGGGGGATCTACTATTAGAGAGAAAATACAATAGGTTTACAATCTCACAAAATAAACCCTCAAACTAACTCTCTAATCTCTCACAAAAACAACCACCAAATAAAATTTTTCTCCTCTGCACTTGTATGCCTCTCTCTCCTGCAGCCGAAACAAAGCACCGCTCACCTAGAGTTCCGTGCACACGCCCTTGCTGCAGTTTTTCCCTTTGACTGCTCTTGCGTCCAAATCAGCCCTTTGCACCTCCTTTTCACCAAAGAAACCCTAGGACAAAAGTCCTTTTTATATGCTGCAGGCTATGAGGAATCGGGTGGGCCTGTGCAAAGAAACGAACCCCTGCGATGTGCAAAGAAACGAACCCCTGCGAAGATTCCCACTTCGGTCACGTGCTCCCGATGGTGGTCCCCATGAAGAGTCCCACTTCATTCACATATACGTGTCGTGAGTATTGTGACACATTCACATATGTTTAGAAAGATGCTCTCTACATATGCTCTTGCCATACTTTTGATAGGTATCATGCTCTATTTATGCGACACAAAAATGTATCGTAAATAGAGATAAAAAAAAGTATCATAATTTATAACTTTTGTTACAGTGACATCATCTACTTCTACCTTTCAAACTCTTACATTGTCAAAACACTCGCAAGAGCAACTCCCTTACTTTCAAGTCACCATGCTTGTTCCACAAAACTTTGAAGTTGCAACAATATCCAATCATATATGTATGTTGAAATTTGGGTCTAGTTATAAATTCCAAGTGCAACTATATCCAAACACTAAGCTTGCAGTAGAAAGGACTAACTGTACTAAAACAAGTAGTCCTTGTGCATGCCACATTCGTCTCATAATTAAAGAAAGCAGAGTAATCAGAGACTAGAAAGGAAAATTGGGTTAATGAAGTGCCAATGGGGGACGACACCATGCATGGTTTTATCTTATCACATAATAATTAAGACATGATAAGCTCACTAAGAATTAATTAATTAATGTGGTCCACAACTTAGATGGAGCCATTGCTAATAAATATTAGAAAGCACATTCTAAAGATGGAAGGTATCCCTTAATCATGTCCACAAAAAAGTTTATATTGTATATTAAGTCATGGACCCTTAGAGCATAATGAAATCAATGTGGTCGGTAGTTCTATAGAATGAGGTTAATTGTGTGATGCTCCACAAGGGAACATGAAAGGTCCATCGTGGCCTTGTGCTAAACACCAGTTTCTATCAAAACCAATGTTTTCCAAAACTGTGAAGGATAAACTCAAGACAACTCTTTTGTGTTCTGTGTCCTATTGAGTGAGGCAAAACATTTTCTATTCTATCAAGGTGGAAAAAAAAATTGTACTATTTTAGACTTGCAAATAACTCCTCTTGATCAATGGTGGGCTAGGGCATTTTGCAAATTTAAGCAGGTAAGAGGGTTCATTTGAAAAACAAGTAGAAGAAATGAATTTTAGCTTAACTCATTGAAACCCGAGAGTTTTGGTAATAAATCTTGATAGAATTAAAGGAGAGCTTTCTGCAGTTTTTTCATTGGAGAGTCATATACATTTGCTCATGTTTAGAATTCAGGTAAGGACAACAAAGCTCAGAGGCTCTTTTTTGCTCCTTTATTCTTTTCACCACAAGCATATTTGAGATTTAAACTTGATATCCTCCAAACAGCACAACCCTTCATCATCTATAGATAAAAATAATCCACTTGTTCATGGGGGAGGGCAGTGATTGAAACATGATGAAGAATTCAATATGCAAATTACTGATGCATGTATCAAAGTAACACTTAGTAGCCCAAATGTCTCCTATATGGATAGCAACTACATAATAAAAATTTACAATGATCAGTCAATTGTGAATCTTGGATGGAACATTTAAGGAAATGAGGTGATTGTGTCAGAGAGGAAGATTACTTAGTAAATCATCAAAGAATTTACGTCAAGGTGATTGCTTCAATTGCATGATCTTATCCAGTATTAGTAAATAACAGTTGTATCAATTTTTCTTCGGCTGATCTGTCACTTGAATTGTATCAATTGTAGATACACCATTTCCATTATATATTATGTCAAATCTGACCTCAACCCTGACAAATTATCAACTACCCTGATAATCTGAATCATCACTCATTCTACCACAGTAGCCCTTAATCCTCCCAAAAATGCATCTCCCAACCCAACTCTGACTCTTCATAACTAAAACCTGGAATTCTGCTTACATTTTTTTTTTAAGTATAATCTGTAATGTTCAAGCTACTCCTTATTATATCTTATAAAAGGGAGACTATCGATCATTTGAAATATGTAGACAAGATGATCAAAATCAAACGAAGGAAATATATCAAAAAATTTTGGCCAAAACCAATTGACATGCATGTGCAAATGGGTTGACAACAATGCATCCATATTGGCACAGTTCTAATTTTCTCCAAAATCTCAATGAAACATTTTTATTATGAAGCTATCAAGCGACTAATAACTCTAGCACCACTAGGAGGCACTGTTTTCTTTCATTCTTACAAACGCTTTAAGTAATCCAGTCTGTTGTTATGAAATTATCTCATAATATTTTATCAGAATGACTATAGATTTGGCTACATTATGGTTGTAAACATGAAACATATATATTGTTGTATCACCTAGTTTATATGGACCAGCCAGCTAGCTTTCTTCTTAACTGTTGACCACTATAACCAACTTAGTATAATCCTTGTTATAATCTTAGGCATAAAGTAATTTTATTCCAAGTAAAGAAGCTAACAAAATCTTCAGTACTATACAATAACCTTAGGCATATAGTTCCATAGTACGGTGAAATTTCAACTTTGGAATGATCATGCTCAGATAAGGTCATTTCTAAAGGATTATTTCTAACACCTTGGACCTATTTGACTTTCGAGTGACACCTCTTTTAGTTCATAGCAAGTTGTGGAATGACTGGCCTCTTCACAAAGTATAAACTTTTACAATCTTAAGAATCAAGTGGGGTCCTCCAAGAGAGTTTTGAATCTATACAAGACAACAGAAGGAAATATTTTTTTATAAAAATGAAAAACAGTCTAGCTGTAACAGACTCAGGAGCTGACTGAACAGGGGCATTTTGGGAATTAGGGGCTTATACATGAACAAGGTCCAAATTTTACGGGGAACATCCTTCCTTAAAGACTGACATATACACATTATAATAACACTTCAACTTCAAATTAACGATAATTATCAAATCTAATATTGAAAATTTTTTATTTATAAAAGAAAATTCTTATAGCATTTGGACCATATGAGACATTTCTCTCTGGAATGGTGGCAGTGAGCAGGACCGCAGCCGTATATATATCATGAGAGAGTCAGAAGGTTTGGACACACACACTTTTGGCTTCAAAAACTGCGGAGCTTTACTCTTCTATCTTCTTTCTTATTTACATTTCTTTTGTGTTTTTTGAAAACACAAGCCTGTAGAGATGAAGCCAACTGTATTATCAATGGCCTCTCTTCTCATCCTATTTCTGCTACTAGTTGAAACTCCTCAAGGTGTCCCTAGCTAATTCTAAATCTTTGTCTTTCTTTTGCATCACAACTGAAGCAAAAGCAATCGACTAATTTGGTTTTCATGGTATTCGGTGTTACAGGGATTCGCTTCGAGGAAGAGTCCTTAGCAGTCTTCCACAAGATAATATATGTAAGTTTATGCTGTATGCAACCATGTCTTAATAATTGCTTGAGGCCAGGTTTTTATGCTAAAAAGAAGTTATTATTTATGTTTTTGTTAACAGAAGGAAAGTTTCAAAGGAGAAGGAGGCGAGGCTAAAGTAGTATGCAAAGAAGACGAAGCTTGTTCAGGTACAAAGAAGGAGATGTTTTATAACGAAGTTCAAAGGGCGCACCACAGTCTTCCAGGGTTTCATGAAGATTACTTTGGTCCTAAGAATCACAAGTCTAAGCACCACTGAAATCATTCATGACCTAATACCAAAAATCTTCTCTCTCTCTCTCTCTCTCTCTCTCTCTCTCTCTGAAGTCTCAACTTTATTCTACCCTTTATTTTTTATTTCCCTTTTCATTTTGTTGATTCTTCAGTGCATATATAAGTTCATGGAGAAATGGACTTGAGAAGATTCAAGATCCTCCCCCTTGTATGCAACCAGAGAAATTTAATTATTGACCTTAATTATAGTCTTATTTCTCTCGTCTCTATATATCTCTCTCTCAAAAACATTTATACAGCAAATATGGATTGTTTCATCAATGTATGGCAATAAAGATGCACCGATTTAGAACACTTATACATTGCAGATTTAAGAGTGAATACGAGGTAAAAATTCTAGGCCATGAATCCTAAAGCTATTCTACTTCTGTTATTGCAGGAAGGATTAGGAAACTGATGATGACAAAGGCAATGGCCACATCAAAGGTTTGCAGCTACCAAAACTAAACAAACAGCTCTAGGTTAATTAATTTCTATGCATAACCACAACATGTTCATATATAGTTCCATGCCCATCTGCAGAAAGAAGAGAACAGTGAGAAGGGAGTCGACCATCATTCTATGGATAAAAACACCGATAAGAACAAGAAGCCAGAGGACTTCCATGTACAACCACCAGAAAGTTATTCCGATGTTCTGGATATCGTCGGAATGGACTATTCTCCAGCAAGGCGAAAGTCACCAATCCACAACTGAAATGAAAGCTTAGGCAATAAAAGTGTGAGAGGAGCGTTCGAGTGTAGGAGAGAAATACAAAGGCAATTAATAGTGGAACATGGACAGCATTACAGAAAATGCTGCAGATTTCTTGGGTTAGAGCCCCATTTGTGTAGATACTATATTATATATAATCTATCATTCTATATTCTAAACGTGACGATCGAGTGCTGGATCACCTTTTTTGCACTTTGTGTAGGACCTTGGATCATACCATGCTGTGTTACATGCAGAAATTGGCTTGCACATCCCTAGTTGACTTATCGAAAAATAATTATGCTCCAGTGTGCAATATAAACACTTCTTTCTCTTCTAGTCAAAAAATGATTGCATACAAAATATTGGATAAAAGGTGAAACCCTGATATCATTGTCCAAAAAAAAATACCATAACCAAGTGATTGAGAAATATGATCACCTCTCATGAAGACAAGAATCTTAAAGGCACAACCATAACAAGGGGCCACCATAAATTTCTTTTACCAGGCATTATGGTGGAAGAGAGACAGAGACAGGGAGAGGTTTGTCCGATGCAAATGTGCAGTTCTGGATGAATTTATTCAGGGATATGCATGTCACGCCTTTTACATGTGATCAAGGAAAACTACCAAAAAGAATGACAGGTGGTCAAGTTGTTATTAGCAATAAGGTATTGTGAAATTGGGACTACCTTTTGTCCTTGGCCATTAACTGCCGGTTTCGGTTCGAATGTATGCTCTCCATCAACGGCCAAACCCACTGCTGATTGTGGCGATGTGCAATGGATAGGGATGCGGACGAAGATATGTTGCCATCTCTGAGGTTTACAACTTGAAGATGGTAGACCCATGAATGTAGACTGAAGAAGGAGATGAATCCGGAATGTCTTTGTCTTGATGGGGGCATTGTCGGCTTTGTGTTTTATTAATCCTGTAAGAGTTAACAGTAGAGGTTCAACTAAGGAAACTGTAAACCTCGCGGTAAGTTTGAACTATTTTGAGATAGCCCCCAAAAAGTTTGGTAAGTTCACATAACTCCTGTGCCTTTTTCAGATAATGCCAAAATGGTGGGGGTTATATGGAAATAGATTCAGAAGAAAAACAAAAGCTTTTGGGGGATGAAGGGCATGGTTGGCAACTTTGGGTTATAATCCATTATAGGCCAGGTGGATTATGAGCCAAAGCGTTTGGTAAATTAGTAGATTATAATCCATTTTTAATATTAGAGTGTTTGGCGAATGGATGGTTTATGAGCCATCATTCTTGTCAAAAATGACTAAAAAGTATTTAATGGGGTTAGAAAATGGGGCTTGGAATTTAGTGAAATTGTGAGGGGTATGTTAGTCTTTTACTTAGTCAAACCATGTGGCTTATAAACCAAAAAATTACAAGCTATAGTACTCTAGATTATATATTTTGGTGGCTTATAAGCCAAAATAATCCGTTAGCCAAACATGTCAAAGCGACTATAAGCCACAAAAGTGGCATATAAGCTACTTTGACCACTTGTGAACCCTACTCAAAGTAACATTTCGAAACTTTTTTGGGGGGGAGGGGGTGTTTATCTCAAAATGGGCCCACCTTCCTCGAGTTTTGTGAAACCCTAAATTTTACGAAACCCACATGAACTTTGTGTGTTTTGCACAAATGCTCATCGCCTTTGTGGGCATCCAATTTGAAAGTTTTTTTTTTTTTTTTATCTCGTGGGTATAAGAAAACTGACAAAAAGAAAACTATTGTTGGAACTGAGAGAATGTTTACCCATGTAAGGAGCAATTTTAACATAAAAGACACTCTTGAGTTCTGTTTATCCATGTAAAGAGCAATTTTAACGGAAAAGACAGCCTAGAGTTCTAATATTCATTCCCTTTTGAGAAAGAAGCCCATGAAATGTCGGTCTCCGTACTTATCTGTAATACAAAAAGTTAGTTTTGCTACTCGTCCAACGAAGTTTTTAAAGCACATTAATTAACAAGGTTTACAAACATCATTCTCCAGAGATAATCTAATCTTTCACTTCTACAAAAGCTTGCAAACCTCTCATTAATTTGATTACTTACTTAAGAGTGCCTTCTGCAATTTCTTCTTGCTTTGACTCCGAAATGGTTACAGACCAATTAAGCTCACAATGACTAGATAGAGAAAATAGTGTAAAAAGTTCATCAATCAAATGCTAAAAGGCAATGACTGATGTAATAAACAGCCATCTATCCACTTAAGAAATAGGAAAGCTAGCCATCTATCCACTTACATCATAAAAAAGTTATCGAAGCGAAAAGATCATGTATTCATTCCTCGGATCACATTCATATTAAAGTTCTGTAACAATATGTCGGTGGTTTTTCTGTTGATATCAAAGTCTGAATAGACCATATGCTAACACCTGACCCAGATGTTTTATGCGGAAAATGATTTCTTATCAATGAAACAGTGTTTGATCTTTCAAAAGAAACAGTGAACATGGACCACAAACAGTACAAGGAAAAGAACAAATAATGACATATTTTGGGAAAGCATTTGTATCAATATTTTCTACATAAGAACTGCAACAAAATAACAGAAACATAAATGAAACTGCTAAAACATAAGTAGATGGACTGCACGTACCAACTGTCTCTTTTACAATAGAAAATCTTTCTGGGGACATACTGTTCACTCTTTCAAACAAATACCATATACAAATGTGAGGGTTTGCAGGTTCAGTGCCTAAGCTAAGCAAAACCTTAATACTAGAAGCTTTGATCAAAACTTTGCATTACGGCGCTCCCATATCTAGCAGAGAATATTGCATTCTGGATTTAATGTTCATGTAAGCTGCAAGAAATAATCCATAATGATCAGAGACAAAGTGCCAGAGTCAGTGAGGGTGTCATTCTTAAATCCAGATGATTCGCTTCAATCCAACATTTAACACATCATGAAGGATTCAAAGGATGTTTTTCAACCAAGTCAAACAATTCATCTCCCAAGCCAAAGCCGAGCATCCTGGCCATATCTTTTGTCTTTAATTTTGGCTTTGGAACATTCTGTTCCTTCAACCAGGAATACACAGTAAAGGCCTTGCTCATAACAAACAACTCCAGGGCCTCAGGGTTGAACACAATGCCCATTCTCATGCTCATCTGCCAGAAATTCACCAAATATAAGTGGTACATCTAAACCGAAAAAATCGATTTGAGCCAAAATAAAGAACCTTTACTTTCATGAAATACAAAGAATAACTCCATTATGTTTCTTTTACCATCTAATCATAAGGATGATTTTCCCCCAGCTATTTGAACATTACATTTCAATAATTTGATACTCTATCAATAAAAAGTTTGAGGAGTAAAATATATTGGAATATCACTTCAATTATCATTTTATTTCGTACATATAATATGAAGCATATGTTCGTGATTGCAGCTGAGTTCACTTTCTTTTTTTTCATGATACTTCAACATAACTTTAAATTCTGTTACTTCCTTTGACCATCTATGAAGGAAAATTTTGCAGCCTTAAATAATTGGAATACTACTTCGAATATAAAGCATTAGTTTGCGACTGCAGCTGATTTTAGCATCTTCCTTCATGACATTACCTTTTCTCTAGCATAAAAGAATAATTTGTGCGTGATCTCACTTAAATAGAACTTCATATTATTACCTGATGAGGTACTAGCATTGCTGCATAACGAGCAAGTTCTCCAGCTCTCCAGTCTAGCACAACAGGAAACCAAGGATAAGAGGCATCAAGTCTCACAAACCATAGCCTAATTTCAGGAAATTCTGAGAGTTCACGATTATCATATGGATCGTCTCTTTCATAATTGATTGTAAAGCCAACTGTACGTTCCAGAAGCTCTTTGGGTTTGGCAGGGAAACTATCTACATGCATTAGCATAGGAATTAGAATTAATAATTTGTTTAGCATTTTGAGCTTTATTGATGTTGGCTCACCTGCTGTACTAGCGGTATTTCCAGCAATTGCATAAACAGGAGATAAGTCGAGACTTTTTATAGTGTCGTTATTAATTATGATTTCAAGACGCCCTTCAGTTGGGGGGAGCGGTGCTTCAACTTGATTGTCTGTTAAATAGGAAAATCAGGAAAGAAGATTAAACATGGGTCTACTGTTACAAATCTTTATAACAATGGTTTCAATGCAAACATCTTAGAATATGAAAGGTAAAGAAGCCAAGTTCAAATAAGACTGAACAAAAGAAAACTGAAAATTAGACCGCATTTGGAAACTATAATCAATTGGAGACACCATCTACCTTGAAAAACCTGTTAGGATGTAACTAGTTTCAGTTACAAGTTCAGATAACCAACAGACTGAATGATCCCCATTTAGGAAGTATATTAGGAAGTTAAAAATTAAAACTGTAGTTCCAGTATTTTTTTCAAAGCAAGTTCCTTCTGTAGATTATATTAATTTGACTCAAAGAAAGCAAAGTTTATAATGATATCAGCAGCTCAAATTTATACTTATGAGCATAGAAAAAAAATTTCCGTCCTAAAAAATACAACTTGAACGGTAAGTCCTATTAACATAGATTGCAGTATATGAAAATATTGCCGTGCATGAAAACACTTTGGACAAGTAAACAATCTAATCTGGACAATAGCGGTACAGAATGATTCTGTTGACGAGGATATTGGAGAAAATATCAAATAAAAAGGAAATCTACTAGAGGAGTTTATGAGATCCAGTACATCACTGCTCATTGATATTATCTGAAAGAAATTAACTCGTTTATCACAAACTGGAGGACAATGTGTTAATTTTTTTCTCCTCGGTGAGTTTGCTGGTTGGAATTGCAATAGTATAGTTCAGGTCCTTGTATCTCTATTAGTGTTATTAGTAAAGCAGTTAGTCTAATAGGAAACTTAGATTAAAACTCGTGTAATCCCTGGTTGTCATGTTAAACTATTGCAAAATGGATCGCAAGGGTGAAGAAACGTAATTACTAGTATGTAGTTCTTATCGCAGAAAAAGGAAGGCAGAAGTTATGAGAAGAAGTTGACCTATTAAACCACATATATATAATCATGAAAGAATATGTGGAAGTGTTAAATATACTTTGAGCCACAGTTATCATGAAACTCTATATTACAAAATTTTTTTCATGACAGGTAATATAGTCACGATGTGACATCTATAGACACCTGTGTTCCTCAACTCAGGCATTTTGCCGATGAAAAAAAGAGAAAAAAATAATCTCCCTTTAGAAAAGGATAAAAGTGTATATCATTGTATTAGAAAAGGAAAGGGGTATGCCAAACATTTGGAAAGGATCCACAGGGAAAATAGAAATAAGAAATGTGAAGAGATAGTTTCTTGCTTCCACAATTATCCAAACCATGTCTTGCATTTATTTTTAGAGCTATATCAAGTGTCGTGATATGTAAACTAGCACTAGCATAGTACAAGATGTTGCGCCTTGCGGAAGCGTGCTCGCACACCAAACGAGTCGATAAGACACGAGAGAAGAGAACCAAAATCAAATCACTAGTGCAACCCACCAAATATGACACAAATCAAACCAAACACAGAGATTTACGTGATTCGACAATTGCCTACGTCCACGGGGAGAGGATAGGGAGATTTCACTATATGGAGGAGAAATACAACGGGTTACAACTTACAAAATCACTCAAATATAACCCTAACCAAAGCTCTCAACTCCCTCACAATATCGCCCTCACAAAGTACTCAAAAGTCTCTCCTTTCTCTGATTAAGAAACCCTAAAATCGTGTTTCAATTTATATCAAAACACAAATCAAAACCAACTGGGAAAACCAAACTGGGACCATAACCGCATCGCGGTCGATCGGGCACAAGTGTGCGGTAGACCAACCAGAGAGCTGAAAATTAGCCATATAATTGTGCACGTTTTCGATCGACCGGCCATAAGCGTTCGGTCGACAGACCAGAATCGGTCGACCGGTCGAACTCATTCGGTCGCTCGACTAGAACAGGGTTTCAGACCCTGCAATCCTACAGTCTGTCGGTCGACTGGGCCTATGACGTCGGTCGACCAACCCGTAGCCAATCATGTGCACTTCAAATTTCCTGTTTTTTTTTTGCCGTTTCTTCAATTCTCCACCTCGGCGAAGTTTTTCCAAAACTAAGCCGACACAATACATGAGTACCACTGCGTCGTCTCACCAAATCCGACTGCACCAATGTGGTTGCCTACGTACCCCCTCTCCCAAGGGATTAAGCCGTCCGTAGTTCATCCAAATGACCGCGAACGACCTCAACAATCACGAATTTGTAATAAGTTTTTATAATGATCGAACTTGTTGCTCGGAACCACATTTGTGAGCATATCCGTCGGATTATCTTCCGTGTGGACATTCACAATCTCCACATCCCTATCTTCAAGAACATCTCGAACGAAGTGATAACGAACGTCAATGTGCTTCGTCCTCGCATAAAAAATCTGATTCTTCGCCAAATAGATAGCACTCATGCTATCACAATAAATGGTGACGATTGCTGCGAAACACCAAGATCCTCCAAAAGTCCTCAAAGCTAAATCACCTCCTTAACAGCCTCCGTAATCGCCATATACTCTGCCTCCGTCGTCGACAAAACCACCGTAGACTGCAAGGTGCATCCCCAACACACCGGCGCACGAGTTAAAGTAAACACATACCTCGTCATTGACCAGCGTTTATTCAAATCTTCAGCGTAATCCGAATCTACGTATCCACTACATAGCTGCCTACCACTAGTGTCCCGCTCAAAAACCAAACCAACGTTGAGAGTACCTCGAATGTACCCCAAACTCCATCTCACAGCATCCCAATGACCCGGACCCGGGTCGTGCATGTATCTCGAAATCATGCTCACTACCTGTGATAAATTCGGCCTCGTACAAACCATGGCGTACATCAAACTTCCAACTGCGCTCGCATATGGAGTCTTCTACGTTAACTCTCTATTTTCAACTGTTTTTGGTGAAAGATCAGTTAAAAGCTTCAAATAGGCTCCCAATGGTACACTAACTGGCTTCGTCTTCATGCTCACATTGAACCGCAATAGAACATTCTTCAAATAGGCCACCTGTGTCAAACAAATTCTGCTCTTATCTCTGTCTATGCCGATCTCTATTCCCAAAATACACTTCGCTTTACCCAAATCCTTCATCTCGAACTCGCTCGAAAGCTGAATCTTCAATCTATCTATTGCGGATCTGAAAGTAGAAGCAATCAATATGTCATCTATATAAAGCAATAAGTAAATGTACGTCCATTCATTTAACTTGTGATAATACACACAAAAATCAAACTAGCGCCTAATGCATGAATGGCTGATCATGAACCCATCAAATCTCCTATATCACTGTCTAGGAGATTGCTTCAATCCGTATAGCGATTTTTTCAATCTACAAATCAATTTTTGTTTTCCTGCAGCTCGAAACCTTAATGACTGAATCATATAGATTTTCTCATCAAGATCACCATGAAAAAATATTTTTTTCACATCCATTTAATCTAATTCCAAACCATACTGTGCTACTAAAGCTAGCAAAATCCAAATCGAAGAATGCTTCATCACCGGAGAGAAGATCTTATTGTAGTCAGTACCTTCCTCCTGTGCATATCCATTCGCAACTAACCTAGCCTTGAACCTCACGAGAGTGCCTTCAATGCCCTCCTTCTTCGTATACACTCACTTACAACCAATAGCCTTCCGCTCCTTTGGAAGCTCGACAAGCTCCCATGTGTCGTTCCTATGAAGATACTTCATCTCTTCCTGCATAGCTACCTGCCATAAATTAGCCTCTGAACTCTGCTCAGCCTCTCTAAATATAATAGAAACCATCTCATCGACACTCTCCACCGGAAGTGCATACGCAACGACTATGTCTGTATACCTCACTGGCATCCGTATGTCTCTCCTCGACCTTCGAACCGTAACAGAATCCTGAACCTGAGCCGTCGGTCCCTAATCCTGCTCAACTGTATCTGTATCCTCCAAATTATCATTGTGCTCGTCTGACGTCACCTCAGTCAGCACTCTAATAGATACGGTCATATCTGGACAATGTGGAACTGTATCAATCTCCATCACCTGTAAAATCTCCTCTGTCGGGGTGCTCTCCACCTGATGAGAACTGGGAAGCTTCAAGATCGAAACCTCATCAAATGTGACGTCTCTACTCAGCACTATCTTCTTATCAACTAGATCTCAAAGCTTGTATCCTTTGATACCTCGCTTGAATCTCACAAATATGATCTTTCTAGCTGGAGGTTCTAATTTATCAGTCATCACATGATAAAATACAGAGCACCCAAATACCTTGAGCTGATCATAATCGTGTGCTGGCTCTCCCGACTACATCTCCATAAGGGCATTCCTCTCAATCGCAGATGAAGACAGCCTATTAATGAGGTGACTAGCATAAAAAAGTACCTCAACCCAAAAGATCTTCTCCAAACCACTCTACGACAATAAATATCAGACCTTCTTCAACAAAGACCGATTTAACTTTTTTGCCACCCCATTCTGCTGCGGTGTGTGACTAACTATAAAGTGCCTCTCTATGCCCTCCTCTCATCATAGCTACTAAAAGAGGTCAGAAGTATACTCACTGTCGTTATCGGATCACAACGTCTTGATCTTTCTCCTAATCTGTAGTTCTAATATCTTCTTCCATTCCATAAATATCTCTAGGATTTCACTCTTCTTTGTCATGGTGTACACACAATAACGCCTAGAATAATCATCTACAAAAGTGACAAACCAACATCGACCACCAAGTGATGCCGTCTTGATGGGACCCCAAACATCTGTGTGCACGTAGTTCAAGATGCCCCTCGTCCATGGATGGTTGTCCCAAACTTCACATTCGTCTTCTTGCCAAGAACACAATGCTCATAAAACTCAACTTTCTCATTCTTAGCTCCTTTTAATAGTCACTACTTGTACAAAGTTTGCAGTAACTTTTCACCTGTGTGTCCCAACCTATAGTGCTAAAGCATGTTCACGTCCGCCTCTGAAATAGCTGAAGCTATCTGGCCAATCTCGATGCTCCCCTTTAGATAATACAAATTCCTACTGCAGACTCCC